AGGCGATATTTCTTGTGGCATTGGCGTGTTGCGACGTGAACCAGGGCTGGCGCTGCTGTGCTATGGAACCACCGAGGCAACAAGTCCGTAGGCTATACACGTGGCGATGCCAACGCCTCGGCTACCTTTGCGTGTCGCTAAGATGCAACGTCTGGCTGGACTGACGCATGCAGCTCCTGCTACGGTAGCGGAGAATGCAGTCGCTTCCATTGCTGGCCTGACGCCAGGCGTTCAGTACTGGTAGGAGATTGCGGAAGGCCATCGGTCATGGCCAACGGCGCGCACTCGTGGCGGCTGTGCGAGCTGTGCGAGGCGGTCGGTCGGGGGCGTGCAGCCGCCTGTCAGCGGGGCGCGAAGCGGCCCACTGCCGATCCAACATGGGCGGGACCAGCTCGGAGTTGTCTGATGCCAGGATTCGTCCAAAAATGGCCTTTCTTCGCCACGGACCAATCACAGCGCGTTCTGCCACTTTGAGCAAGGCCATTGGTGAAAAAGATATCGAATCTTCCGAGGACGGTTTCTTCGATTTCGAACCGGGGCCGGCCACGAAGGAGCGACCGGAGCCCATTCTACATCCACCGATGGACCGCTTCAGCTACGTCCGCACGCTGCGGGATGCGATCTACGGCAAGGTTATCCTCGCCCGGCGAAACGCGAGCAACCACGACGAGCTCGTCGCGATCAAGATGATGAGCCTTGAGCACCTCGCGGCGCGCACGGCGCTGCGGGGCAACCTCCACATCAAGGAAGACGGGTACGAACTCACAAGAAGCACGCGAGCGTGGCTTCACCCATGACGCTAGGCTGCAAGAGTTTGCGATCTTACAAAGCTTGGCACCACATGCGTCGCTTCTGCATCTCCTCGAAGATTTCGAGCACGACAACATGTTGTGCCTGGTGTTTACCTACTGTCCGTACGGCGAGCTCTTTGACCAAGTGCACGGGCCCAACAAGACGTCACGAGGTGTCCACGAAGCAGTTGCCGCGCGCTGGTTTCGACAGATTGTGCTGGGCGTTGCCCACATCCACGCAGCCGGCGTCGCCCACCGCGACTTGTCCCTAGAGAACATTTTGCTGGATGCGCAGCAACATTGCCGGTACATTCTCGTCGACTTGCGCATGGCTCATGCCAACGAATGCCAGGATATGTGATTTCGGCCTGGCGACACAGCGCGGCGATCTCACCACAGGCCGCGTCGGCAAACCCTTCTACATGGCCCCCGAAGTCTACCTCGGCGACCAGACGAGTTACAACGGTACTTCAACGCAGCGCTATTCAAGCTCACATGCGCACCTCTAGGCTTCACCGCCGACGTGTGGTCCCTTGGCATCTTGCTTTTCATCTTGGTCTGTGGTATGCCGCCCCTGGAAGTGCCCGGCGACCACGACGCCCGCTTCCGCATCGTCCGGCAAGAAGGCATTCGCGCGCTCGTCAAGATGTGGGGACTGCGTCTCTCGGAGCGCGTCCTCGACCTCATCGCACAGCTACTTCGCGTCCAGCCGCACGAACGGCCATCGCTCGAGACCATTTTGCTGCACCCGTGGCTCACGGACACCGACGACGGCAGTTGCGCGGTCGACTGCAGGCCACCGACGACGACCACCGACGAGACGGACGTCGGGCGCTGCGACGGCCAGCGCCATGGCAGTTGCATGGCCTATGTGGCCTGATGGGCGTGCGTTCGTGGGTGTTGACGTCGTTGAGTACAGTGTATATGTTTGGCGGGTGGTGTAAGTAATAGCATACCACGCCCTTGTTGGCAGAAGATTCGCCGCGCGTGGCTTGATTGCCGTCGCGCACTCGGAGGAATCTGCGGGCTTACTCGCCAGTGCCACTCTCGTGATTCTTCGACTTGTGGTCACGGCGCAACTCGGTGGTCCGTCGGAGCTGACACGCGGCTAACGCCTCTTTGCACTACGAACTTAGTGCAAAGTGGAGATCACGCGATGGTCGCCGCAGCGTTCTAGACAGGCGTCGCCACTTGTTATGTGCGGCCTCATACACAGTGCCCCGTCGCTGCATCTGGTCGCCGGATCAGACACCACGTGCGCCTGCAATTGTCAATTCTTCCGGGGTCTGGTAATCGATGACGCGCCGACGTTTCTCGCACCACGGATGCTAAGCGCGTCACGACATGGGTTGAGCGGTGCCTTGAAGAACCAGCGCGGCCGCGCTCAAGCGGCGTGGCCGTGGGATGTTGCGCCCACAACTTGCCCCCACGGTCGCATCGGTGTTGGCATCGGCGACATCGGCATCTGCGACGGCGATGTCGACTCGGCGGCTGTAGCGGTCCTTGTTGTCGTCGTTGCCGCCGCCCGTCTAGTCCACAAGGTCGCCCAGTCCCGTATAAAGTACACGCCTATGTCCACACGCGACACGTCGGGCAATGTTCATGGACACGGCGAGGCGGAGAAGATGATGGGGATTCTGTCGTCGGGACGATGAGACTGGCGATCGTCCATCGGCGACTACCTGGTACGACGCGTTATTCCAGTACAAAGGACAACACGGCGAAGCGCCATTGGTATTACAACGCGTTAAATAAAAGGACGACGGACGACTTATAAGCTCATGCTCGTGGCGTCGTCAGTGGCGCGCATGCTTTGTTCGACGAGCTTGGCGTGCGTCATGCAGTAGCCGGAGCGCTGGCTGTTTTTGCCGCAGCCCTCATACTTGCACGGGCGCCCGCCGCCGTGGCACTTGCAGCGGCCGCGCGCCTGGGCCGACCGCGTGCACCCGGGCTCGGAGCAGCGCCGGCCGCCGCCGTGGGCGATGCAATGGCCGCCGCCTTGGTCGGAAATCTTGCAGCCCGCGGTTTGGCAGCGCCGCCCACCGCCGTGGCCCTTGCAAAGGCCGCGCGACCGAATGCCCTTGTTGCAGCCGGGCACGCGGCAGAGGCGCGGGTTGGCCTTCTCGGACGCCGACGAGCTGGGCTTGCGCGCCGGGCGGTACCCTCCGATGTCGTGCGCCGACCCCGTCGACGACGGCGCGTTGGACGACGGCGAGTACGAGCCCGACCCGTGGCGGCTGTTGTACATACCGGCGTTCGCATTCACGTTGGCGGTGTTGATCGTCGTCGGTCGCCCGTACGGGTGGTGCATGCCCTCGAGCGCGTCGAGCTGCGGAATGCACTGAATCGCTTCGTCTAAAAAGTCGGCGTCCAAGTGCTTGTAGCGCTGGCCTTCGTACGGCGGCAATGGCATCGGCGCAAGGTTGTCGTGGCCGTAGCTGTAGTTGGCCGCCGGGTTGGCCGTCGCCGTATTATACGGCGGGTACTCGTTGTAAAAGGCGCGCGGGTCGCCAGCGTTGGGCGCCTGGTTGTACTCGCTGTACGGCGCGTGTTGGTGATGCGGCGCCGTCGGCGCCTGCTGCGGGTTGCTGTAGTCGTACCCGGTTTGGTCGTACCGGCCGCCGTGGAGGAGCTCGTACTTCATCATGGCCGACTCGTGGTCGTAGCGCGTCTGTGCGTCGAGGGGCTTGTTGGGGAAGCGGTAGCCGGGAAAGCTGTTCATGCGTACACTGCTGCTGGCCATATACGTACGACCAAAGAAGGGCACTAGAAGGATGTGCACGGGCCGGAGCAGATTCCCAAATGCTGCTGCTCTTCGTTGTGTCTGTCAACGCGGCCAGACGCTGGATTCCGAGCGTGACCAATGCCCGCAGACAGAGAGAGTCCCACTCTCCAAGCAACCAGCTCAGTTTGCCCTTCCACCCATGCGTCGAACGAGCCGTCGAACGAGGCGCAGCTGCGTCCGGGTCCTCCCGCTGTGCTTCCTATGCTTTGCAAAGCCACACGTTCGGCATGCGAGCCAACTACCTCGACATCGCTTTGGTCTATACGCAGCTGGTCGCAGGTAAACATACAACCACGCGCCCGTCGTGTACGCACCAATCGAGTGCTCTGTCTTTGCGCCTTTTTTTGCAGTGGGATCAGAGCCCGTCGTCGAGAATGAAGAAGGCGCCATCACGTGGTATACACGGTGGGTACCGAACCTTGCACCTCCGACTTGTATCTGGTTCACATCCTCGACGCCATCCGCGAGGTTGATTGGTCGTGACGCGGCCAGCGTGCGCAAGGATCCAGTGCCAATCTCGCGGGAAGCTGCGCGTCTAATAGACGTCGTCCGTCTCATGCTCACTCAACGACGATTATGGGGAAGGGCCACGGTCTGGGGTTCTTGAAGCCACCACCTGAATGGACGCGTAATGCCCGCCATATGGCGCGGACCTTGACGTTTAGTCTTGCGGAGCCGCGAGCCACAACGCCGCCGCGATGTTCCGCTGCCGACACCGCGCGCGGTCCGTGACGAGCGCGGACAGACAATGTGTACACGTTCTCTGGCGTAGACCCGGGAAATCATGTCTACTATTTTGGAACAAGACGACATTGCACTTTCGATGCGAGTGAGCCAAACAGGCGCTGCCACGTCCTCATGGCGGACAGGCCCACCACTTGGCGCGCATACGTATATATACGGCACGGTCGATGGCGGTGTCAAGACGACCCGATCCAGTGTATCGCTTCCGAGACGAACAGGCCGAGAAACGTGCGTCCGCGCTCGTGTCTCTGCTCCCAAAGGACGTTCGACGATGATATGGCCACACGTGGACGATCCTTGTCCAGTTTAGCTGGCATGGGATCGGCATCAATCCTATTGGGTCACTCCTGTGTGGCCGATGCGTAATGCCATCGATGACGGGCGGGTCGATGGAGGTCACCCTCACCCATGCAGCGAAACGTGATGCGTCAGGGCCACGCTTCGCGTCAGTCGACGACCAGCGATGCGACCCTGGTCTTTGCTGCAAAGCAGCGCTACCGTCATCGTTGTTGCTGGCGTCACTGGGCGCACCCACGATTATGTATCTTGATTCATTACATGTCCTTCTTTGCGGTGCATCTTACTTTATTGAACGACGTTCTTAGTAGCTGCATTTGCCGGCAGCTGCGCGCAACGTGATGGCTTCTTCTCAGTCCCTTCAACTCATCTCGCGTGATTACTGTAGCCGACAAGAAATGCTAACTGGTCGCGTGGTAGTACTTTAGCTGCACGTACGACAACATGTACACGGCGCGCTCCAGATGCACCGACGGCGGTTCGCGGACGTCGGCTGTCACTGCGGTGTCGTGGCACTCGGTGTCGAGCGCTGCGAAGCGCACGAATCGCCCGACCATCTACGGAGCATGAACAACGCGCTTTGGGAACACAACGTACGGTGCGAGCGAGCCGGACGCTCTCTAGAATGTGGTTGACGAGCACCGCGGTGGCGACCATCGCCGCGTCGGTCTTTCCAGCGAGCTGCACTGTCGCCCGCTTGAAGTGGAAGTCGTCGGCCATGCTAATTCGCTTGGCGAGCCAGTCAAAGAAGCTCCGCGTGCTCAGAACGCCTACGCCTTCCCAGTCGTAACGCAGAGAGCGAGCAATTTTGTTACCTTTGGTGTTCATGCGCACGTTGGCCACAAAGCCGTCGTACGCGTGGTCCTACTCCACACGATTGTCCGATGTACATGTTGTCAGATCGTACCTGAATCGCCGTCGACGCTTCGAGGCGCAAGAGGTGCTGGCCCACGAGACGGAGCGCCTTGTCGTCGGTAATCTCGACTTCGGCGGCGGCACACTGGGCCTGGAGCCGCATGAGGTACCACCACGCCGACTGGTCGACGGTGCCTACGACAATACATCCATGGGTTCCGTAGACATCAAATCCGAGGGTTCTACCAGCAAACGCGCACCCAAACAGTTCGATCTGAGGACTCTCGGCTACACAATACGACGTTGTCTACTGCATGAACACAAGCGGCGTGGCGCACGAGAAAAATGGTCGACGGCCTGCAGAAGCGCAAAGCACGCCAACATGGCGACGCGCTCGTCGCCGTACCGGTCGAGGAGCAGGCCAAAGACGACTTGCGGCAGTGTCGGCGTCGGCTCGGCTTCAATCGCCAACAGCGCCGTGCGCTTGTGCGAGTTCTACCTCTCGGGATGCAAACATGGTTTCAACTTGCGCAAAAGCACCTCGTACTCGGCGAGGAGCTTGTCGCACGCGCGCTCGGCCTGCGCAATGCGCGCCCAGACAAGGCCAAGGAAGCGTTCGAGTTCGCCGACGTTGAGCCGATGCGCTTGTTTGGGGATGCGCTATACCGTCGTTCAGCCTCCCACTTGCGAATCGGTGTACATTCTGGGCACAGGCGAGGTATGGCGTCCAGAGCACACTGTCGGTGGCCAACTGCGGTGGTACGAGCAAGGCTGCGAGCGATGGATCGAGCGCATGAGCTTCCTATGCTGGTTGTCGTCGGTCGTTCGAGACAAAGCCATTCGTGTACCCCGGAGAGGTTGTTGCTGGCTTGCGCAATGTGTCTACATACTGTGCATGAGCGCGACCTCGCGGTCGATTTGGTACGCTTCCAAGGCTGCTAGCTCGTCTAGGATGCCACGCACGTCGTGAAGAAACGCGTGCCGGAGCCTACACGTAAGTCGTCACTGGCGAAAAGGCTAGGAACAACCAACACGCGCTGCGTCTCGTCGTTGCAAAAGCGCACGGCGTGGTCGTACTCGGCGATGCGTGCATTGCGCAAGAGCAGTAGCTGGAGCTCGGTGCGGAGAGCTTGGTCGAGATCGCGCACGGCCGGCGCCATGGTCTCGTGCTGGTTCCCTTTTACTATATTTCAGTGTCGCTCATCAGCGACGGAGCGTACGCTGTGTGGTATCGTCGATCGCATCAAACTGCTGCCGCATCGCGTCGGCCTTTTCACGAACCGCGTGGAGGTCGCGAATCTCGGCTTGGTACCCGGCTATCGCGGTGCTCATGGCGTGCAGCTCCCTACTCCATCCGTATATTCAACTCATGCAATCGCTATATCCAGTCGACCGCTGCATCGCAAAGAGCGTCGCTTTCATGTCGTGCTGGTGCTGCCGCGACTCTTCCGAGAGGTTCTTGTACGCTTCCCGGACGCTGCTCGCATGGGCTACACCATTAGTGTGGTCACCAGTACGAACGACAGAGAGCCAATACATTTGTACTCGAGGAGCTCGCCAAATGTGTCGTCGAGCTGGCACCGGTACTCGCGCTCGCGCTCAAAGAGCGACCGCTTCTGCTGCAGCAGCCGGGCTTCGCTCGTCGCCACCTCTTTCTACATGCGGTAGCCAAACGTACGAAAGGACTATGACGCTGCTAATGTACCTCGGCCACCTGGACGCGCGTGCGCTCGCGGCAAGCAAGGTCGAGCAGCACAAAGCACGGGATCTCACGCAACGACGCGCGCGCCTGCATCTCGGCGGCGGTGCCCGTGTCGGCAAACATCCCGGCGTCCGCAAAGTGCCTGGCTGTCGCCTCATCGCTACTCGTAGCAGCTATCGGTACCATCAAAGGCGAGGCCAACGGTACCTAAAGACGGCGCTGCGAAGCTCGACGAGGAGCGCGCCTACACGCCGATCTCTCCTCAATAGGTGTAGGAGGGATTGATCGACAGTACGCAAAAGCGGTCCGTAGAGGCCAACGTCGTTGGTCATCGCGTCGGCGAGCGCCAAGCAGCCCTTCACTCGCTGCTCCTTGCCAAAGAGAGGGTTGGTCGCTTGCTTGGAGTCGACGAAAAGCTGCTTCAAGCGCACATCGTATGCGTTGATGGCCGACCGCGGCGTGTTCCCGCGCCCCTTCATCTCCGAGACCGTTTCGGTGGCGTCGGTTGGGCTGGTGACAAGCGTGTCTCAACAGCTTCGATCGGCAAAGGCAAGATCTTTGCATTTCTTAGAGCCACATGACCGATTGCTTGAAGGGCGGCGACGTCAAGAGCTCTTCGTGGAACGCGGGGCTGTGCTTTGTCGGGAGAAGGGGCGTCGACTCGCCGCGTCGGGGCAGGTACTTGTGTACGCGCATCATGGCGACAACGATCAGAGCCGGTAGGATCTCGGGCAGCGAGTACAAGACCCTAGCAATATTGATCTGAGTGAGTGCAATTGATGTCTGAGCGACAAGACCAGGGGTTCACAGCTTGGTGCGGAAACGATACGACGTAAAAGCCGGTGAAGCTCTTGAAGAGGAACGAGACGCCGCACGTGAGACCGAGCCACCACACGCGGGTGCCGAGCGACTGCGCTAGCGGCGAGAGCTCAAACGACTGCAAGTCGACCTTGAGTCGGTACGCGCCACGGACCTACCAAGCCCTAGTTGGCAACAGAGGCAGCCGGATGCGTACCAAGAGACACGCGAGTGCAAAGTAGAAGAGCGATTCGATCACGTCGCGCGAGCTGTTGAGGAGATTCGTCTTGGCCATCGGCAGCAGCGTCTGTTTATTGTCTTGAGATGCCGGAATCGAAGCGGGAGGTACCTCGGCCAAGAAGAGGATGGCTTCGACGAGATACATCCACACGTTGATGACAACCACGTAGCTCTTGCTCGATCGACGCGGTGCTATCCACCGACTTTCCTCTGCACGCATCGATCAGATGCAACATAGGAGAGGTATAGGCGCACGGCGCACGGACGTGGCGGTGACGTTGCGCATGTCGTCCCAGAACCGCAAGAGAATCGTGAACGCCGAGACGTACAAGAGCGTCGCAACGTGCTCCCAGAGCGCGACGCCCAGCGGGAAGAGGTCCATGTCCATACCGAAAAACTAGCAACGATGAGCCACGAAAGGACGGCCTTCGTACCGGGTTGTACACGTACGTGTGCTCGAACGTCCCGTTGACGTTCTTGGCTTCGAACGCATGCACGTCGAGGAGGATGAACCACGCCGCCCGACACGCAAACGCGCCTTTCCATGGCATATCGTCTCCATTCCTTTGAAGGAAGTACCTGTGAGGAGCGTCGGGAACCAGCGGAGGCGGCGCACGGGCAGGAGCGGCGTCGCATGGCCTGCCATGAAGTAAGAACCCCGCGGAGGGAATCATGAGCCGGCTACCATGCTCGAGGAGGTTGCGCGACCGGTGGATCGACGTGGTCACGATCCACGCGAGCGCGAGCAGGTACATGGTCGCGCATGTGGCTTCGGTGGAGGTCACGTGGATGCAGTGCTCGTACCCGACGAGGCAGATCGCAGTCGGGAGCGCCTCGAGGTGCATCCTGCAAAATCGGCAAGTGCAGCGCGACCTATACCGCCGGATACTCGACATCATCGTTCGGATACGCCGAGCAGATGCGACGCCACGTCGCATAGCTGGCGAAAAATGCAAGACAAAGGGCATGCTACTAGAACTGCATTGATGTGTATATACGACCAGCGCCGGACGTAATTTAGATGTGTACATAATTCAACTACCAAGAGGCTCCGAGGGACCCGACCACAAGACAGACAGGTCGCAGGCGCGGGCTTTACATAATGCCGCACTACACATTCACACACCATGAGCACACGAGTAGAACTGCCGAGAAGCACGTACGCCTTCGTTGTTGCCTTCCTTCTCCTGCTCGTCGTCGTACTCGTCTTCATTGAGGCCCTCGGCATGCGAGCAGACGACTTCGCCTTCGGCGTTCTTGACAAGAGCGACATCGCCCTTGGGGTTCCAGATGGCCTTCTTGACGGCGTAAAAGTCCATCAGATCTTGCTCGCCTTCCGGGACCGTCGGGTTCTTGCCCGACAGGACCGAGACCTTGCCACCCGGCTGAATCACGTAGTCATCCGGGAACGAGAACACCTAGACCAGCATGTAATTGTGAGACACAAGCGTCGCAAGTGCATGGTAATCCTACGTGGTTGCTCGACTTGCTCGTGATTTGCCAGCCGTTGAGGGGAAGCGGGGTCGCGCCCGTGTTTTCGAGGATGATACGGCCCTCGTCGAGGTTGAGCTGGCGGATACGGAAATCGCCCGACGCGTGGGTCTTTCGCCGCTTCTGCGCGCGCGACGACTGCGGCGTCGACTTGCGCTTCTTTTGGGTCGACGCCTTAGGCTCAACACCGAAACGCGTCTCTTCGCGGTCCAGGATGCTGCGGTACGCCGAGATTTCTAGATCAAAATGTGAGCATATTGGCATATGGAGAGTAGGAAAACGGTACCAGCGTCAAGGGCGATCTTGATGTCCATGAGGTCGTTGAACTCCAAGTCCTTCTCCTTGCGCGCCTTGCGAGCGGCTTCAATGTTGGATTCGTACACACGGCGGTCCTCCTACACGCAGCATTTCGTACCCATAGAAAAGACAAGGTCCTGTCAACATACCTGGAACTTCTTGCGGTCGGCGCGGTACTGCGACTCGACGACGGCGAGCTTCTCCGTGAGCGACTGGCGAAGCTTGAGGCTCTCATCGTAATCGTTAGCCGTGCGTTCATAGTCGGTACGCAAAGCAGTGGTTTCCTTGGTCGCTTCTTCGAGCTGCGAGCGCAGACCTTCGACGACACCTTCAAAGTGGCTGCGCACTTCGTTTTCGACCACCTGCTGGCGCTCTTCCGACTCCCGGCGCCATGCGGCAAGCGCTTCCGAGTGCTTGGCGTTCATTTCCTTGCGGAGAGCAGTCATCTCTGAGTCGCGGGTCATTGAGAACTCGGATGTCTTCTGCTTCAACTGCTCGAGCTCCGACGTGGCATCGTGCAAGCTATATACTCATAAGCTTTTTGGTCGTACACGGATGCAGTATGCATACCTCGCCAGCGTTTTGCGGTACTCCTTCTCCATATCGCTGAGCTTGCGGCGCTCGCTCTGGAGCGCCGTCGCGTTGCTCGCGAGGGCTTCCTTGGCAGCCTTGCAGCTCTCTTTCTCCTTGGCGAGATCGCTCTGGACCGTCTCGAGGTACGTCTTGGTGTTGTTGAGCTCCTTGACCTGCTCGCGGAGCTGGACGAGCTCGTTGTACTGCTCTTTCTCGAGGTTCTGGACGCGGATCTTGGCCTCGCGCTCTTCCTCGTACTTTTTGCGGACTTCCTCCAGCTCCTTGGAGAGACGCGTCTTGGTCATGGTCAGGTCGAGCTGCATGCGATCGCGGATGGACTCGAGCTCCTTCTCGGCGATCTCCTTCGAGTCTTCGACCTCCTTGACGCGGAGCACGTACATCTCGAGTCGGTTGTTAAGGGCCTAGGAAGCGCTCCATGAGCCGCGGGTCTTCCTCGGGCGCATGTACCTGGAGCGTGGTCTTCTCGTCCAGACGCTTGGACTTCATGGGGGAGAAGCTCTCACGCTTCGATGCTAGGGACGACGACGACATGGCGACCTGCGCTGCTGCTCGACGATTCTAAAATGGGTCCTCCCCACCATACAAAGTTCAAGGTACTTGGGGGTACCCCCAGGAGCCTCGGCATTTTATTCGCAATTTTTATCTCCTTTGAGATTTTGTATGCAATTAAAACCGCCCTGTCGCGCGCGAAGCCGAATTTCAAAAGGCGCGAAGCCCGAAATTCGGATTTGGCCTTGGCTTTGTGCACTCGTTATCTTGCACTTTGTATGTGGCCACGAAATTCGGACCAAATGACTGCAGCCAGTAATACCCCCCCGGAATGAATAGCGCGGTTTGTATAATGAAAACCTCGTTCCAACGCTAATGACTTTAACGTGACGTCAAACGCGTTTTTTCGACCTTGACGTTAGCAGCACCACATGCCACGGTGCTGACCCAAAACGCGTATGGCCGACGCAACCAGCGACAGCAAAAGCATCACTAGCGAAGTAGTACTGTACGGCGGTCTATCGTCTCGAGCCTCGTCGCAACCCTGCTCGGCACCAGGCCTTTCTAGCGGTGGTATAGAACTCAAATGCGGCAGCAGCCCCACGCTTCGGGGAGAATGTACCTGGCTTCCTCGCTTCCCTTGCGATATCGAAAGGACGTGCTACAGTGGGACACGGGCTTACATGACCACGACAATAAGCTCTTAGTTTGCCAACCGGCACCAGCTGCATGCTATTGTCACCACCGAGAGCACATGGAGAGACCCTATACGTTCTACTCGTTTTGTATCATGGTCACCTTCTGAAAAACCGCTCGGTTTCATACGAATAACCCTCTTTAACGCTAAAACGCCTCCACGCGTCCATGGACAAAGCCAAGGCCGGTCCGCGCGAGGACAACATGAAGATCATGGTAGGCGTCGCATGCGAGACGACGTAGAGGACCATGCAGCGCAGGTGCATGTCCTCGACAAGACCATCGTCGTCTCCTGTGGCACGGGCAGCCAGCGCATGCAATGGCTCGGCCACGTGGGCATTGCGCGTTACGACGAGGAGCATCTCCAGGGTTGGCTACAGCTCGGTACATAGGCAGACATGATCTCTGGCAGAATGGCTTATGCAGCGGGTGCTAGGCAAGCCGGCCAAGATCACATCCAGCGCAGGGGTACCCTTCCAGGCTAACGACGTCATTTGCGAAGTTCTCCAGGACAAGGACCATGTCTATGTCGAGCCAACGCGACAACCGTGACCTTCTTACACGATGATTCTATCCCGTGCGCGCCGTGTGCGCAGGCTCGAGCACGGATTGTACAAAGAGTTCTTCGTCCTCAATCGACGCGTCCGGGTACAACGCTTCGTAGACAGCGACGACCTCAATGAGCTCCGAGAGCTTCTTGGCCTTTTTCTATTCCGTCATGAGACGATGTAGCCATCGTATCGCAGTACCTGCAGGAGGCGCTGGAGATGCGGCGTCGGCAGCCGATTGCGCATTGCGCCTGCGATGTGGCTCAAGCGGCGTGTGGCAAAGGCAGCTTGGAACGCTGCCAACGCTTCCTTAGCCTACACACGGGTCAGGTTGCGTGCACGAAGGTACTGCGAACGTACGTCAGGCCGGTCGCCGTGGGCCAAGTGCCACAGAACAGGCAACACCTTCTCGAACACTGCACCGTGCGCGCGGCGCCAGAGCACAAGCTGCACGTAGTGCGCTGTCGGCGAATGCGCATGCGCCGCTGCTACTACAAGACCATGGGCTATGGATCGAGTAGCTCTACCGACGGACCTTGCACAAAGCTCTGCGCAGCGTCGATCACGTCTGCGATCGCCTTGGCCTCGGCCTTGGACCACTTGAGGTCGTCCTTGATCGCGTCCATAAAGAGCTTTTGATCACGCCACATTGGTTGACTCAGAAACTCAAAGCTCGCATTGACGAGGTCGGTCAGTGGCACCTCGCTACGCCCCATCCATCACTACTGGGACATCAAACGTCGTGTACCTCGGCTCGGTCAGAAGCGTCGCGAGCGCATCGCCCAACAGCGTCGATGTCGCCGGGAGTTCGACGCAGTGCACCAAGGCCGACGCGAGAAGGTGCGTCGGGTCGTACTGCGCCTTGTTCTACCATACTTATCGTGTCGGTACCACCCTGCCAAAGCATCCCGCGCACCGCAAGGGTCGCCGAGGTCGGCGCAACGTGCTGCTGCACAAAGCCGACCGAGTCGAGCATGTGCGCTGAGGACGGCACGCACGTGAGGCGCGGCAAGAGGAGCGGCCACAAGGCCAAGTCGGTGAGCACGCGCATCGCCCGGCCCGGGTCACTGCCCGCGAGCATCTTGCGGACCTAAAGCACTCGCCACATCATACGAAAATCTTAGTCTCCCAACGACGGACCTCGATGCCAATACGCTCACGGCTCACTTTGTGCCCGAGTGCGTCTTGCACCCGCGCGTCCTTGGCGGCCTTCGGCGATGTCAGAGGCGCCACGACGTGGAGGATGCCATACCTCCAGAAGCGCGTCGTCGAGGGAGAAGTGGTAATGACACGCAAAACGAATCGCGCGGAGGACACGGAGCGGGTCGTCGAGGAAGGTCTCGAGGGGCGGCAGCGGCGTGCGCACGCGCTTGGCGGCAAGATCCGCGAGGCCCTACCCCGTGTGGAATATAATGCGAGAGAAGCACGGGATAATAATACCTCGCCCGTGCAGTCTTCGATGGCCATGGTCGAGAGGTTGAAGAAGAGCGCGTTGATGGTGATGTCACGCCGCAATGCATCCTCGGTCGGCGTCGCGGGTGTGTCTACCGCCATCGAACGCATGGACTTGTCAAATGGAGCGTACCGGACAAGATCGGGATGCGCGACGTCGGGTCAGCATACGTCTCGGAGCGCAAGTGCACAAAGTCGAGGTCGTGGCCGAGCAGCTTGACGGTCGCGCAAGCGAGGTGCTTGCTCGCGTCCGTGTTCTTCTTCACAATGTAAAAGCCCTTGGGCGACACGCCGCTCGCGTTCTGGAAGGCCAAAATGTGCTAGGACGAGACGACATTCTATCGTGCGAGAGAGCTCTGTTATGTAGTACCTGCGCAAAGGCCTCGCCCGTGCCAACGTCGAGCGCAATGTCAATGTCGTCGCTGGGCAGGCCAAGGAGCTTGTCGCGCACCCAGCCGCCGGCGACGCGCAGCGTGACCTCGGGCGCCGACGTGTCCTTGATAAACTGCAGCACCTGGAAGAGCTTCGTCTCGGCCGGCGTCAGCGACAGCGTCGGCGCCGCCTGCTGCGAAAGCCGGCGCGCGAGCTGCGGCCGCCATTGCCGCCACCGCAGTGCTCCTGCTCGCATGCTAGTTGTCGTCCAATAAAGGCAAGCCCGAAACGCTTATTTCCCACGTTTTCCCACATGTTTTTCACACGCTGCAGTTTTCACAATGTGTGGAATACACCGTCGCAAATCACACGGTGAATAACGTGGGATACGTGAGAAAAGAGAAAGGCCGATTTCGCAGAGCTCAATGCAGCATCAGCCAAAAGCCAAAGGCCAAAAGCAGCGTGTCATCGTACCAGCCATCTCTACTTGAATCTACGTCGACATCTGCAGTGCAGCGGGACCTTCAGACTGAAGGTATCTTGGTTGCGACTGAAGTTCAGTCGGTCTCGCATTTGCCAGAGTCGAAAGCGGCGAGTCAACCACGTCTGTACTAGCATTGCGGTATCTACAGGTTACTACGGCGTGTGGTGAGGCACTGGCGGTGGCAATAAATACGTCGTGAGCTGGATCATCTCGTACACGAACGAGAAGACGAGCGAGAAGAGCCAGAGGTAAAAGTACGTCAGGTTGCGCTTCCCAATGCACTTGCCGGTCCACGGACAGTGGTGGTCGTACTCGAGGACGCACACCTTGCAGTCCGAGCAGTGGCTCGCGCTACACCAAGCACGTGTAAGCACCTCGATCACTGCATGCACATGAACTACCTCGCTGGACGGTACGACGCACAGTAGTCGCAGTACGTATCGCTCGGGTGCTGCGGCTCGAGCGAAATGGGCACGACACCAGGATCCGTGCACGCCGTGAGCGCATACGCGAGGAGCGACCCGAGGCAGAGGCAGAGGCCGCCCCACGCCTCGGACGACGACACTTGGTCGTTGCTCCACACGACATGGACAGTGAAGAGCGCAAAGACGCTGAGGAGCCCAAACGTTACAAAGAGCAGCGGCCAGTGCGGGCCCACAGAGCACCAGCGCGGGCCCATGCCACAAACGAGCGACCGCGACCGCAGCACGAGAGAATCGCCGCGGTGGAAGGCTCGCTCGACATAGCAAAACGGCAGCGAGGACGAGGGCCGCTCGGCCGGCGACGCTTGCTTGTCGTCGTTCTCGTCATGATCGCTGGCGCGTCGGCTCTCGTCGAGGAATTGGCGGCCCTCTTCGACGTCGGTCGTCGGTCCCATCGGCACAAATTGTGCGAAAATCGAAGTCAGCCGAGACCCGACAAATAAAATATCTTGTTTCGCGTTGAAAAGCGACCGATAAGACTGTATTTGAATTCTTGGGGCAACGTTGAAGTTCGATCGTGGGATTGTATACAAACTGCAAGCAAATTTGAGAAATTAACGCCGTGCGGTCTTTTGTAGCACTCGATTGTCTTAGTCCAAATGTAGTCGAACTGTGGTCAAATATAGTCGAACTATAGTCGAAACGAAGTTGGCATGGTTGCATGCTCACACCGTGGCAGTGGTGCTCGTGTCCATGACGCATCATGGTCGAGATGCCGCAGTTGTCAAGGGAGGTAGCTAATAGGGCAACGTGGGGAAAGCAGGTTGATACTTACCCGGTACTACTGTAGTACGCCCGAGGCAACACAAAATATGGCAGCAATTGTGCAATTATTATCGACGACGAGAGCCAAAACTGTGAATTTACGCTGTTAACCTGTCGGTGGCGAATCGTCGCGGTTTGCGCTGCTGTATGTAAGATCGCAACACTGGAACTTCGAAATTCTCGAAAAAAATCTATCGCGAAATTAGCTTTGAAGTTTTCAAGTTCGTCGACTCCTTTGCACGCCTTTACGTGGTCGCACCTAAAGTCACTGTTCTCGTCTCCGTCGCTAGCAGCATACACTAGGATGATAATACACTGCACACGCGCAGGAGCGATTCATTTCTTATTTCCAGTGCGTCGTTGGTTTGACAACCGACTCGATGAAACCGCCAACCGCCCACCGTCCGTTGCACCGGTGGTCAACGGTCACACTCGGATTCGATCAACGATGCATTGCATGCTTCGCGCAATCTTCCTTGTCTTGGCCGCGATCGCGACCGCGACCGCGCTCTCAGATGCCATCGCATGCACAACAGCCGCGGCGTGTCCGACCGTGCCATGCCACACGGTGAGCGGCTGCACGGGCGGTGTCTGCCTCTACACCCAGCTCGCTGCCAAAACCCTCTGTCCAAGCCAGAGCTGCTCCAACAAGAAGCCCTGCGACGACGACGCCAATGACTACTGCAACGCCAAAGGCGAGTGCGTCGACGCCGTCAAAGGCGCTGGCACCGTGTGTGCGACCGGCGGCTCGTGCTTTGAGAACGCCAAATGCGACGGCATCTGCGGAACATGCCCTGCGGCCACGCCGTCGATGGCCGGCACATCGTGCACGGGCAGCTGCAACGGAGGTCTCTGTGACGCGCCCGACACGTGCGATGGCGCTGGTCGATGCAAAGACAACTACAAGCCCAAAGGGACGCTATGCCAAGCAGGCGGCGGCTACTCCAACACGCCGAGCTACTATTGCACGGGTACGACCGGAACGTGTGATACGAGCAGCGTCGTGCTCGCTGCCGGCAAAACGACGCCCGTGTACGAAGAGAGTGGCGCGTCAATGGTCTCGGCTGCATACGTGGCCATCGGCGTCGTCGGCACCGTCGTCGTCGCGGCGGTCATGGTGCAACAACAGCGTGCACCAAAAAAAGCATCCTTTGTCGACGATGGCTACTTGCCCCTTGTCATGTAGACGGTCACCACATGCGTTTACCCGGAGAGCTTGGTCGACAACGTCGTCGACGCCATTAACAAACCGCTTCACTAATGCGTCTAGTACTGCGAGTGTTTATCAAAGGTTAAACATTCGTACATCAAGTGTGCTGTCGTTGAACAACTGCCCATTGGTAGTCTCGGTCGAGGAGCAAGGATTTGTCAAACATACCTTGCAATTGTGCTAATAAGCAAGTATCGAGACCGTGGTTAGGGTTCCTTTAGCAACAAATGCTTCTTTCGTGCTGGACCACACCGTGTGTTTTACGGCTTGTATGCTTGCGGATGTACTCGATCTCCAGTTCATGCCGTCTACCTCGAAGATCGTTGCTGACAGGTTACTGTACTACGTGCAATTGTACCAACGGTGGTCGTATCAACCTACTGCAGTTGCGCAACTCGGACGCTGACGTCAGTAGTGCAGACCTCCGTGATTCTAGCATGCAAATGCATGTCGTATCGATTTGTGGTCGGCATGACAGGTCTTGGTCTTCTCTCTTTCTGAAGTTCGTTCTTTGTCAAAAGCTCGAACGCCGCCGTCATGCACGCTACGAAGAGAGCCATGGGCATCCTGGCGGCGTGCTGCAGTGAGGTATGCATCTTGTCGTGTGTCAACCAGCAACGAACAACGCGCTTGCGGTGCAACCGTCCGCGCAGGTCTCCTCGGTCGCCATCTTCGCACCTTTGCGTTGATGTTCTTCTTCCTTTTCGATCATAAACGCAAGATTTGTTCATTTTTGAAGTTGAGTGGTGGTTGCACGATGCAGCGATTCGCGCTTGTGCTGTTGGCCGCGACAGCGTCAGGCTTTGAGCTTCTCGAGGCGAGCGCCACGCAGTGCCTTACGGTCGACAACTGCCTCTCCGTGCCCTGCTATACGAGCGCGTGCGCCAACGGCTACTGTCAATACACTCAGGTGCCCATAAAAACCAAGTGCCCAAAACAAAGTTGCTCGAACGGGTCGCCGTGCGACGACGATGATAATGACTACTGCAACTCCAAGGGCGAGTGCATCAACGCGTACAAAATGACCGGTACCAAGTGCCCGGGCAAGAGCTGCTCCAACGGCGGCGCCTGCGACGACGACGCGAACGATTATTGCGACAGCCGCGGCGAGTGCCTAAGTGCCTACAAGACCTCGCGCGACACGTGCCGGGCGTCCACTGGGGAGTGCGATGTCGCTGAGAAATGTACCGGGTCGTCGGGCACGTGCCCCCCGGACAAGTTTGTCAAGAAGGGGGCGCTCTGCTCTGGTACATCCGCGTACGGTGCCTGCGACGGCCAAGATGTCTGCGACGGCAATGGCAACTGCCTCGACGTCTACTTGCCATCGAGCACCGTATGCCGTAAAGCGGCATCGACGTGCGATGTTTCCGAAAGCTGCACCGGTACTTCTGGTGCCTGCCCTGCCGACACGTACGCTAGTGCGACCACGCCGTGCGTGGGTGTCTCCAACGCTGGTTCCTGCGACGACCAAGACTACTGCGACGGCAGCGGCAAGTGCGTCGACAAGTACAAGTCGTCGAATGTCGTGTGTCGTGACACCACGGGCGTCTGTGACGTCGCCGAAAAGTGCACAGGTACCTCGAGTACGTGCCCTGCTGACGTCTTTGCCAACGCCGCGACACTGTGCAGTGGTGCTTTCAACGACGGTGAATGCGACGGCGTCGACCATTGTGACGGCAAAGGCAAGTGCCTCGATGTCTTCGTACCGTCCGCCACCGTGTGCCGGGCGGCGGCTACCCCGTGCGACGTTGCCGAGTATTGTACGGGGACCGCGAGCAAGTGTCCCGTCGATGCCTTTGCGAGCTCCAAGACCAAATGCACAGGTACGTGCAACGGCAACCCGTGCGACGGTGACGACTTCTGCGACGGCAACGGCGCCTGCGTCGACGGGTACCTCCCCGAGGGCACGGTCTGTGGCAACACGGCAAATGGACCTTGCACGATTGCAGCCGTCTGTACGGGCGACATGGGGTTTTGCCCCCCCGACAGCTACGCCGACGCGAGCGTGACGTGCTCCGGACAGAGCTCTGGCAACGTCTGCGACGGCATCGACAAATGCGACGGCAACGGCAACTGCGCCGACCGCTTCCTGAAAAACGTCGTGTGCCAAAAGCCCGTCGGGTATGCACGCCCGACGTACTGCAACGGCAAGCAAGCAACGTGCCCCGTCGCGTATCTCGACACCAACTTGCGCGAGGAAGCGGCACCGGAGCTCGTGGCGACGCACACCAATGCGGCACCGGCCTTTCTTCTCGGCCTTCTTTGCGCGGCGGCAGTCGGGGTCGCGTTTGTCACGATGCGGTCGAGCCATGGGCCCATCGAGCACGATGGGTACTTTGCCATGTGAGAAAAAAGAGGCCGACTCGGATCCTGAACTGGCACGACATCGTATCGTGTATTTTCGCAATCAAATCAAATCTTGTATTTCCATTTGACGTGTGGAGATTACAAAAGGGAATTTTCCTAATGGCCTTTGAGATTCGCCGTGTCCACCGACCAGTTGCTGGAAGGGGATCGAATGCGGCACGCAAGTCTCCTGCTGAAATACTGCCTCGCAATCTTGCAGTACTTTATCCAGTTGAACGCGACAAATCTCCGTCTTTGTGTCGGACAAATCACCGTCTTTGGACGCGAAAAGGCGCACTCTGAAGATCGGGTGCTCTGATTGGCTAGCACGAATCCTGAACCGTCGCGACCCCGCACTCGGTTTCATTCGTGATGCTTGGACCCTGGCGCGTAATGTGGGCGATGGCAGCCGCGACGGCGGTCGTTCTTGGTCGCCGCTATGATCGCATGCCAACGTGCGAGACGCTAGACAACTGTCCTCGAGTGCCCTGCCACGACCTCGTCGCATGCTCGACGACGGGGCATTGCCAGTACCGGCAACACCCGCGAGGTACTCTCTGTCCGTCCCAGAGCTGCTCCAACGGTGGCGTCTGTGACGACGACGCCAACGACGCGTGCGACGCTGATGGCGAGTGCGTCGACGGCTTCTTCCCGCCCATGCATGTCTGCCGCTGGCCTCGCAGCGACTGTGACGTGCCCGAACTGTGCACGGGGCACTCGGGAGCGTGCCCTAACGATCGCCTCGCCGACTTTGGCGCCCCTTGCACAGGCATCTCCAATGGAGCGCCTTGCGACGGCCAAGATTACTGTGACGGCAACGGCTGCTGCGTCGACCAGCTTCAGCCGGCCGGCGCCCTCTGCAACGACGACGTTGATGCCGACCCATGCATGACGCCTGGTACGTGCTGCGGCACAAAACGAACCTGCTCGGCACCACGGAAGGCGCGCGCCGGTACGCCGTGCAAGGGCGAGAGCCAAGGCCATGTGTGCGATGCACCCGATACCTGCGACGGCGACGGTCATTGCGTCGACCGCTTTGAGCGCGGCAAGCTCTGCAAGCCCGCGCAGGGCTACACCCGCGCTGTGTTTTGCAATGGCCGAACGGGAACCTGCCCCGTATCGAGCTTCATGGAAGACAGCACCGTTGACACGGCAGTTGACGAGGTTGCCAAGGCCAGCAATGAGTCTGGCAATATGCTTCTGGTGCACTCACCACCGCCATTGCTCGTCGTGGGTGTCGTCGGCGCCGTCGTCGTTGGCATTGCCGTGGCTATGTACCAACGCCAACCCGTCGTGACGCCGGGAGACTATGTGGCCCTTTCTCTGTAAGCAAGCGAAAGATGTAGCAACCGTTAAGCAATAAAATGGACATGAGTGTTGTCGAGACAGTGCATTCCAAAGACCGTTTTGGATGTCCATCAAGGCCATGCAAGTGCATGGCTCGTAACACTCACTTTGCGATTTGCCTCCAACAACACCAGCACCATCATGATGACCATTGCTCGTTTTCTCTTGATCGCCGCCGCCTTCGTGGCGGGCCAGGATGCCACGGATGCTCCGGTGGTGAGTGCCCTCATCCTTGCGCCAACCCCAGCTGGGTCCGGTGCCGGCAGCCAAGAAGGCAACCAAGATGCTCTGGTCGGAACGGGCGCTCGCTCATCAACCGACTTCCGTGACCAAGGCAACGATAACAACAGCCGCGGCACCCGCAACGGCGGTCCCACTTCTGGCTATGGTGCCCTGCGCGTCAACTCTGGCTACGGTAACCAAGGAGCTAGCTACGGCAAGCAAGGCGCCGGTTACGGTAACCAAGGCGCCGGCTATGGTAAGCAAGGCGCTGGCTACGGTAACCAAGGCGCCGGCTACGGTAACCAAGGCGCTGACTATGGTAAGCCGGCGTACGGTCTCTGGAACAGCGGTGCCCAAGCCGGCGGTCACGGTCAACGCACAGGGCTGGGCTACGGTGCCAGCGGCTACGGACGTGGCAACGGCTATGGTGGCTATCGTTTGTAAGTTGGTGTCATATCAGTCACTGGACTATAGAAGACCATATGTACAATGTCAATATATGTACAATGTCAATATATGTACAACGCACAGCAATTTGCCATACTCTCGCACAACTTTTGCACTGACACGTTGCACGTGCCATATCCACACTAAAACAGGATGGAAATCACTCTATTTAGATAATCACGTCCTGGATACACACTATTTACTTCGCATAATTGCCTAATTAGGACGTTCAAACCAGGCCTCTCGCCAATGACGTCATCTTGTCGCTTGCCAGCATGGAGTCGGTCGAACCGCTGCCGCTGCGGGAAGCGCTGCCGCCGATCCTCGAGTTCTATGGCCACCTCATCGGCTACTGCATCGTGCTTGGCCTCATCTACCTCTTCACCGTGCGCTGCGCTGAGCGCTTCGAGGAGAAGCCGCCCACGGTACAGTACATGCATGCCTGCGAGCCTCCCACGCCTGACCATGCATGGGCGTAGGAGCGACCGGTGCTGTCGACGGACCTCATGCAAGAGATGAGCGACGCCGAAGATGAGAGCGACGAGGACGAAGAGCCTGCCAAGGACGAGCCCATCGAAGAGATCGACACGGACAACATGCTCAAAGGTACGGTGGCCCATTTCGAGCTTGGATCACATGAACATGCTAGCCGACGGCTCCAAGAACGAAAAGGCGCGTCCGTACGTGCGACTCCGCTTCGTGCATGCTGCTGATGTGGCTACCGTAGGGCGCCCAAGAAGCCAGCGTCCAAGCCGACGCCGGGGGCTTTTCCCAAGGAGCTCAATCCGCTCACGTACCAGCCCAAGGAAGACGAAAACGTCTCGTTCGTCGACCTCCACAACGCGATGCTCAACCGCTACAAGGTATCGCCTTCTCATCGTTCATGACCATCGACGGATATCTTGTCCTTAGGAAAAATTCCCCGAGCACGGACCCAACGTCGCGGGACCCGTTGTCGACGACGACTACGACGACGAGATGAAGGAGCTCATGGCCAAGCACCTGCCCGAAGAGCTCCGGCAGCGTCGCGCCAAGAAGCCCTCGAAGTAGCTTCGATCGCTTCCGATATTACAAGATACTACGGGCTACATAGTGAAGTTCCTAGACGAGGCTCTGGGGCGTGTTCATCATGGGTTGATACGGCGGCTGCGGGCTGAGCTCCGTCGTGGGCTGCTCGTCGGTCATTGGCGGGCGACTCGCAAACAAATTCATCGACGACCGGGGCGTCACGGGGTCGACCGAGAGAAACGTGTCGTTGGCCGGGTACACGGGTCGTCGGCTGCTGACGGACGACGACGACGACGCAAAGGACGGCCGGTGGTCCTCGGTCGAGAGGGCGTCGTGGAGCTCGGCGTTCTCGCCGTGTACATCAAAGATAAGTTCCTTGACGACGCGGCGCTGGAACCGGTCCATGTAGCTGGCGGGCTTGACGACCGAGATGCCATGGCGGTCTTGCTGGAGGACGTAGACTCGCACAAAGTGTTCGACGCGCTTTCGCAAATTCCACTAATTTGAAATTTTTGAGCATCGAAAACCAGGAAAATCACCAAACCTACCTGCTGTAAAATGTCGATGAGGCCCATAAAGTAGACACCGGGTCCGTAGACTTCTTCGACGCTCATCCCACCGGCATTGGCTTGGTGGAACGGCCGGTCGTCGGGTGACGTCGCGTCCGACGGCGGCGCGTCGACACGGAACGACCGGTGGTGGATGCCGACGAGGAGGCTGTAGTCGATGCAGTTGATTTCTTGCAGAAAATGCGAGTCCACTTGGAGCTGCTTGGCGACGCGTCGCGCAATGTGCCGCGGCAGCTTCATGTGGTGGTTCCAGTTGAGGTCCTTCCCGACATTGTCGTACGCGTGGCGGACATTGCCGCCGTTGAGGTCGCACATTTGGTCGTGTGTGCCGCCAATCACATACTCCTTGGCACAGTACTTGCAGATGACCGTGGTGCCGCGCGTCTTGCGGCCTTCGAGCCGGCCGACCCACGACCCCTACCCAATAATTTTCGCAACCCGACCCCTACATAAACATATGTACCTTGAGATCAAAGCGCTCGTGGATCTGGAGCGGCGTGTCAAAGACGCTTTGCATGACGATGAAGAAGACGGTCTTGCCATACATGGTCAGTGCGTGGCAGCCGACAAACTTGGTGACAAACGTGTCGGGGTGTGCGGCCATAAACCTAAAAACGTTATAAAAAGTTTCGAGATATGTGAGACATGCAGCGTACGTGACGTATTTGGGCAAAATCAACAAGAGAAACTTGAGCTCTTCGTGTGTGAGGGTCTTGACGAGGTACTTGCGGTCTTGAGTAAAGTAGAAGAAGGCACCCGACTTGCCTTCGCTCACGCGCTCCTGGGTCGTCTCTTTCAACGCGTCGCGGTAGCTCGCGTTCGAGACGTGCGCAATGCTCCGCAGGTACCGAAAGATGTGCGGGGCGTAGTCGTAAAAGATGACTGTGTTGGACTCCTCTTGCCGCAAGACGATCTCTTCAATCTGCGTGTACTTGATGTGCCGGTCGGTGCCAATGCCTTCGATGGCTTGGACCTCGGCGCGCGCGATCGATTCGCAGATGCCCCGCGTCGTGAACGTGAGGATTTCGAGCCGCAGCGCCCAGTTGATGCTGTTGTCGTGCGGCGGCAGATCGACGTACCTAGTCCACCATCAGATATATATTGCAACACTAAGAAAACGAAGAAAACTAAGAAAACTAAGAAAACTAAGAAATCCAAGAAAACTGAGAAATCCAAGAAAACTAAAAAAACTAGAAAATCTAAACGCAAAACATTGGACACGTACCCAAATTCACGCAGCTGCGATATGATCTTGAGAATGTTCGACGTCCGCGTCCAAATGACCGAGTTGACCATGCCTTTGGACAAGAGCACGGACGAGAGGAACTGCCACGCTTGGCACTTGTACTGGGAGCTGTACGGAATGAACGTGTAGACCGCATATGTCACGAGAACGCCGGTCCAGTAAAACACAAAGCAGCCCACATAGTACTTGAGATGGCGGTGGATCCTACATGTTGTACAATTTTAACCACTTTCATAACAATTTTATACCGTTTGCGCGTCATGAACGTATCCGGGAGGCCTTTCAAGAGGGTATTCCACGTCCGTAGAATCGCGTAGAGCGAGATCGAGTAGATAACGAGGATGTACAAGGCAAAGAAAATGCCCGCGGGCGCGGCCCGGCGCTGGCTCAGCGGCCACGCGAGGCGCGCCGACGTCGTGTCCATCCAGCAAAAGCCAAAGAGCGCGTCGTACGAGTCGATGCGCGAGACAAGGGCAAACACGATGCTACACTCCAACTCAGTATCGCATAGCAGCAAGTAGCGCACCTTCCGAGGCAGCCCGCGATGTGGTAGTGGGTCATTTGACCTTTCGAGGTCGTGAACGGGTTCTTGAGCGCGAGGAGGAGGTCGATCGCGAAGATGAGCATGTACGTTTCCTGGCCCGTGAGCGCGAGGTCGACGACGAACGGCGTCGAGTGGCACTCGGTCGCGCCGCCCGACGCTTCGATAAGGTACAAGAACTGATAGAAGGCGCCGTAGACGCTCATGCCAAACATGATGCCGGCCGGGTGCTGCCGCAGCGCAGGCACGTAGAGGTACGTGGCCATGACGTAGACGCAGCCGGCGAGCGACATGACCGAGACGGCCATGAGGAGGCCGTTCCCAGGGCAGACCGGCCCGCGTTCGTCGGCCATGCAGCTAGAGTCTGAATAAGGCCAGGACGCGCCGACTCGTCGGAGATGCCAGAATCCGAGACCGCGTTCCAGGAACGGACCGGACGAGGTAACGCTGCCTTTCTAAGTGAAACGACCCGACCTTGCCACTGGGTCTATCACTCGGCCCAGTTGGCACTTGACGTGAGTTACATCGATTTCGACGTCCCTCGCTTTCGTTAACGAGTAGGACACACAAGTCGTCTCGCACAGATACGGTATACCTACTAGTTTGCAGTGGACTCTAGTATCCACAGCAATGGCACTGGATGGTCGCTAGGCAGGCATCTCCGAGGCAAAGACGCCGCCTGATTCCGCTGAATAAAATACCATGAATTCGTGTCGGATCTTCCCATTGCGTTGGCGGCTCGCGGACGGTTGCCGGCGTCATCCGACTATATCGTCGTCGGCATACCGGTGCACATGCAACCAAGGCGTCGACCTTGATACCGCGCCCAGCGACTACTGTGGACTGCAGGTGACTTGATCAGAAGCGTGTCTCACGTGGTACGCCTTCCTGACCGCAATATCAACTCAGTTGCAAGGACCGCAACTACAACAATGGTGTCGCTGACTCCGCCGCCGAGTTGGCTGGAACAAAGTCGCTAGAACAACCCGGTCATGCGGGCGAGTCCGGCGATGGCCATTGATAGCGACTTTTTGACTTCGTTATACGAACATCCCTTTTCACGCGCGCATACTATCGCGATTTTGCCACCTGCAAATTCCATCAGCCCTTACAACGCTGAGTACAGCGACGGTGTACGCATGGACAGGTCACCAGCAGTCAAAGCTTGATTCAACCGGACTTGATGCATTGACAGTCGAATCCCTCGAGTTTACGTCTCTTGGCTCCAGCTGGCGGCGCTCGACTGGAGCGTTTAGCGCTGGAATGCTATGCTATACGTGCGTACTTGGTCAGATAAAATCACAAAAAATGTATTTTTCGTTGCCGTTGGAGATGATGGCCTGTCCCCATTCCCCACACAACGCCCGCACGTACAGTCGCAAACATGCGGGGCAAGACGACGACAACGCTCGAGCGAGTTGCCTTGCCGCCCAATACGGCGGGGCTTGTCATTGGCGCCAAAGGCGTGCACATGCAGCGGCTCCGCGCTGTCCACCGCCTCTCGAAATGCCGCGTCACGACAATCGACGGTGTTGACCACGTCCTTCTCGAGGGCGCGTTCATCAATGTAAACGCGGCCAAGGCGGAGGTCACTGCGCTCGTGAGCAAGTGCGTGGCTCGCCTCGCACGTGCGACCGGCTACAAGCCGCTCTTTAGCCTTTTCGTGCTCGGCTTGCCGTCGTCCGGTACTTCAAGGGACTCGGACACGGCCGAGGCCCCAACGTTTACGCGTGTCCCGATCGCCGCGCCCACGCAGCGACTCGTCGACGTGTACGACGAGGTGCGGGCGCTACGGGCGTTTACGCTGTCGGCCACGGGCACGCTGCCGCCGCCGCCGCCGATCCACGTGCGCTTGCACACTAAGCAGACGCTGGTCGGCTACGCTGAAGACGCGATCGCAATGTATGTGACCTCGGCCCACGCCGCGCTTGTCGAGACATGGTCGTCGTCCTCCGCGACGCCCTCGCTGCGGCTCTCGGTCGGCAAGACGTTCATGCAGCAGCGTCAATGGGATGCGAGCGACAAGCTCTCGGTCAGCGCGGTGCAGACGCTTCAAACAATGGTGCGACACCAGTTTTGCTCGAGCGTCCTCTCGAACGTTCACATGGAGAGCGCGCAAGCTTGGTGCGACGAGAACGGGTACGCGCCGCCGACGACCTCGCGCTACGTTGTGGTCAACGTGGTGCACTTGGTGTCGGGCGACAAGATGCAGTGGACACGCGAGACGGGCGATGCGTCGACGCTTGGCCACACGCTCGACCGCCTCGGGTTCCTATCGCTCGTGGCACTCGATGCAAAGCAGGTGGGCTGTCGCCTCGACTTTCGCCAGCAACGGGCGCTAGCCACCGACGGTGGGATGCGGGCGCTGAGCGATGCGCTCGAAGCCGCGTATGGCATGCGCGATGCGTCCGGGTACTTTACCCTGGCCGCGGAGAGTCTGTACACGATTGACTGCGTGCAGTACCACAAGGAAGAGACGCGGTGCCATGCGACGAGCGGCTTGCGCGTGTCGGCGACGCTGACGCGGCGCTGCGCCACGGTGCTCGCCAATGACGACAACGGCGCGCCGCATGTATGGAGCCTGGCGATTTCGGACCCGGCCTTGGACGACGGTGGCTTTGACGAGGCAGATGTGTTTGTGCACCGCGTCATGGCGGTCTTGCGCGCCGGGTTGCAGCTGGTGGACGCCATCAACATGACGTAGCATCGTTGTTGAAAAAACCATGTGGGAAGGACGTTCTATATTTTGAGACTTATGAGACTTTTGAGACTTTAGGTGTCGGATAGGTCGAGTTGCTGGCGCCAGTTGCGCCACGGTGTACGCTGGACAGCAGTCTGTTGTTCTGGGATGCATCTCGTTTTCGATGCCAACACACTTTAGCAGTCCACGGCTCAGAGATCTTATAGAACTATGGTGATCATGGCATGGATGTATACAGTCGAGTGTTAGGCGGATGGACAATACTGGGTTTTAACCGCGAGATTTCTTTGTACTTGTCGAGAGAATGAAGAGTGCGGGATTACGACTCGTCCTTGTACGACTTGAGGTCCGCCTTGCGCTTGTGTTCTTCAATTTTCTCGGTCAAAACGCGCTGCACAAGCTTGGGCGAGATCCCGACCTAGTTTATGGGATTTAATCGAGTAGGGGTAGGGATCGCGTTGCAACCTCGTCTTGGGCATACGCCATGTTTTGGAGATAGAGCATCATCTTGCTAATCTCGCGGCCGCTCATGCCTTGCGTGGCCGGCCCAGCTTTGTCGAGAATGGCCGTGCACTCGGGGTTGTCGCCGCCGGGAAGCGCCGCGACGCAGTCTAATCGACAGGCTTCGAACCCCGCGACCGACAACGATTTCGTACCGGCGAAATAGAGGCGGAGGAGGCGGACGCGCTCGTTGGCTTCGGGCAAATCAAAGTGCAGCGCATCATCAATGCGGTCGGTGATGGCCGTGTCGAGGTCCTCGGGCCGGTTGGTCGCGATCACCAGCATAAAGTGTTTGGTTTGGGACCCCTACCATACATAATTTTGACCCGGGCCCTACAAAAACGCCAATACCGTGTGGAAGAGCAATGCGTTAAGCGCGTTGCGCATGGCTTCGCTCATGTGGGTTTTGCGCGTTGCTCGGCAGCCCAAGAAGGCTTCGGCCTCGTCAATGAAGATCAAGACACCTACACACACGTTGAATCGGGTCGGCCAAATCGACTCTCGGACCCCGTGGGGAGGCTTGGGCCCACCGAAAAAGCGCGTGGAGCTCCGTGACCGCATCACTGCCGAGGGGGCCCTACAAAAATAATACACGAAGGCTCCAAAGACAAGCAATATTTGCAGACGCACGACGTCGCCACCGCTCATGATGGCATAGTCCATGCCCGAGCAAATCGCGAGGCGCTTGGCGACCATGGTCTTCCCCGTCCCTGGGGGGCCGTACAGCAGCAGATGGCGGTAGGGGGCGCCATGTTTTTTCTAGCATCTACTATCAAGTTGAAAGATTCAGGGGCCTCAAACCGCGTTTTTGGTCGACTTGGCCAAGTCGTACAAGCGCGTTTCAAGGGCCGCGTGGACCACGACGTCCGAGAGCGGCTCTGTGCCAATTGGCGCCGCAAAGAAGCTGCGCACCCAGCCGATGAAGCCGCCACGGCGCGACGTCTCTCGCACCAGCGACGGTTTGCCGAGACTAGATCCCGCAGGAATACATCAACCTAATAAATGCAAAAATCGTAGTCCTACCGTTGCTCGATGATCTGGCCACCAATGCGAATGCACTCGCGGGTGAGGTAGATGCCAAACGCAAGCGCGACAAAGGAACCGATAAACTTGAGCAGTTTGTCCGTGTCGGAGAGCAAGACGAGTGCGCCGGCGCCCAAATTATCAAACGTCGCTTGGAGCGCCGTCATGACCTTGTCCTTCTCGGCTTCAAATCTAAAAAAGAGTGTCATTTCTACCTTGGTTGCCAGGAAAAGTTCTACTGGGCATGGAGCTGGGCCATTTCAATGTCTTGGTTCATGCGCTGCTGCTTGATGCGTCCCTCGACGTCAATGACGGCCTTCTCCAAGGTCGTGTTGCGCTCGAGCCACATGCGTTCCTTATCCGCTTCAAGCTGCCGCTCCTTCAAGATGGCTTCGGTCTCCCGGCGCTTGAGCTCGATGCGAGCACTGGATGCTTCTTGCATGTCCACCTAGTAGTTGCGTGATTTCGTTTGTATCAAGTTTGAATCAATCTATATATATTGCGTACGAGCTCCTTGTTTTGGTCGCGCCGCTGCGTGTCGTCAAAGCGAATGCGCTCCAGCTCGAGCGCGTTCTCCCGCTCGGCAAGGGCCAGTGCGTTCGCATGGGCGACGGTCAGTGTCTGTCGCTCTTGGTCCGCTAGTATCCACATCGTACAAGTGACCTATCCAACGGACTTGGATACCTTTGGCCGACACGGTGTCAAGCTCAAGCTGGGCGGTATCGCGCGTGGCCTCGGCGATTTTCCGCTGCTCAATCAAAACCGCAGACGCTTCTTGATCCAGATGCACTTGGAGCGTCTCGAGACCTACATGTCGGTTCGTTCTTTGCTACTTTGGAGGTACGGTACGGGCAGCGGCGTCGTCAAGCTGCCGCTGGAGCCGCTGGGCCTCGGCCGTCGCGTCGCCTTGGCGCCGAATCAACACTTGGGTCGCGGCCACGTTGTGCATGAAGAGCGCATCCTTGTCGACCGCGTGGAAGTTTTGAATCGCAATCTTCTCTTTTTCCTATACAAGCGTGAGCAAGACAGTCCACGCGCTCATAACGCATGTACTTGGCTGTACACATGGCGCTCGGGGTACACGTGGATGCCCTCGGGCAAGAGGGTGCGCAACAAGGGCGAGCCAATCACGCCGAGCTGTCGGCGCCCCGGAATCGAGTCGTACTTGAACTCAAAATTGGTCAATTGAACCTACATGAGAGGCGTGGGCATGTACTTCGCTGACCAGCCAGCGCACCTGCGTGATGACGTGGAGCGAGTGCGTCGCGTTGGCGTCCTCGACGCCCGTAAAGACGTCGGCGTAGGCGACACTTGTCGCATTCGACGACCGCGCGTTCCGGCCGATGGCGAGGCTTTGGCTCGCGGCGGCGGAGGCGAGGACGAGCGTAGCGCAGAGCAACATCGGTCCAAGGCGACGCTTCGACCACGTGGAATCTTGCCGACTTTCCGAATCTGAACGTCAATGTCATGAATGTAGGTAAAGATACGTCAAGATATGGCTGAACCGTCGAGCTCGAGGTTCCCTCGTCCAGTCGCAACGCTGCGTGTTGTCTCTATCTTTGGTCGTTGCCAGCAAGTATTCCCGTGCTAACTGATGTTAAACATTTCGCTAAGCTGCGTAGCATTCTCGCTGTCGCTCAGGCCCGCCCGGCGTCTCGATCGGCGACACCGACGATGCGCCGTCGCAACCCGACCTCAAACTGTTTGTCTACCACCTCTTGCCGGCAACGACGCCAAGCCATGGCTTACGGCTGCCAAGATACGCAATTGATCAATATATAGGTAGATAGATAGATAGATAGATAGATAGATAGATAGATAGATAGATAG